GTGGGTGAGTGAGTGGCTTACACGGAATTCCCTGCTTCACCAGAGTGTAGCATACAAGGTGCAATATGGCTCTGATCCGTCTGTGAAATCAGGGGCACTCAGAGATAAAAAACTTAGGCTAGGAACAGACTCACAGACTCCAATAATGGACTAGCGGTTACTAGAGGGGAGAGGTGGGGGAGGGGGATTCAGGGGTATTATGATTGGCACACATGGTGTGGGGAGGTTTCAAGGGGAAGACAATGTAGCACAGAGAATGCAAATAGTGACTCTGTGGCATCTTACTACACTGATGGGCAGTGACTGCAATGGGGTATGGGGGAACACGATAACAGCAGTGAATGTAGTAACCATGTTGTTTCATGTGAAACCTTCATAAGAGTGTATATCAATAATACCTTAATAAAATTAATTAATTAATTTAAAAAAACCTTAAGCTAGGTAAGGGCAAAGTCTGATATCAGATTGGGGAGGGGAGCAAAACGTGTAAGAACTATTAAAGACTGCAAATTATTTCTTGCCAAATTCATGGCAAGGCTCTAAGCCTTATCTCTTGGAAACAGAATATTCAGCATATGTAAAAATGTAATGGGAAGTAATAATCAGCTATATAGTCAGCACTCTGCATTTTTACCATCCTCTGGAAGGAGAAAGAACTGGATGAACACTCTCCTTCACCCAATTCTTGGTCTCTGCCTCAGTTACATTATTTTGCAAAATTTCAAGGAGAAAGAGGTAAATGGCTTCCCAACATTTTAATCTATCTTCAAGTAAAAGAAATGTATACTAGAACTGGTTTTTTTTTAAATTTTCTTAAACATTTAGTTTCTCAACATTTTGAATGTTGCAGACTCATAGGAAAGACATTTCCTTTAATCTTTACCAACATTACTTGTTATCATGCCATTCTTACCATGAGCTTGTTAGATTTAGATGAACTTAACATGCATATTGTGTGGATTCTATTATAAATAATGCACTTAAAAACAACTCTAATACACCTATTGTCAATTGTGCCTTACTAGTTGCCTAATACCTTCTTGTTGCTATTAATAGAACTATACAATTAAAAGAAAATTTAGTAGTGTAGTACAAAATGTTCCCAAAATGCATCTGAAGGTATAATGCCTTGAATCTCAAGTAGGATTAATTCCTCCTTCTCAGATGTTGACATACACTTTTAATTCTGTGAAACGTACAATTATAAACAATCATTTCACAAATTACAAAATGAAATTACTCATTTATAACAACTCTCAAGTGTCCTTCTTAGTTGGTCAGGTCTTTAAAAACATTTCTAGATGATTTAGAAAGATAAAAGTTGCCATGAGTATTTAGTTTTTGTTTGTGGTCAAAAGGAAAAATCCCAAAATGTTCCATTTTCAGTTTTAAGAGGATTCCTTCTGTCATGCCAGTTCCATGTAATTTTATTTCCAGAAAGAGGGTATGCCTTTAATTCACATTCATTTAATTAATCTCAGAGTACGAGAAAGTACTTTAATGACTGGATTTAATGACTGGAAAATCCTTCAGTAGCTTCCAATTAAAAAAAAAAAAAAAGTGACTAGTCACTTGATTGATCTTTAAAAACAATTTACAATGAGAGATCACTATGTGAGAGAGACAATGATTTAGGCATATAACTCGGAAGGAGTTCAAGGACCTGAGTAACATGACAATAACATTCCCTGGTACAGAATAACACTGTTCTTGGGTACTGAACGTGGCTAAAAGTTATCTTAGGATGAAAAATGGCTTAGTTTAGAGACCAATGGAATGTTTACAGACTCTAATTAGCCCAAGAACACCAAAAAAGTGTCTTTGTTTTTTAATGTTCTCAAATTTCTTAATGAAGAACCAGAAGAACCTCTAACTGGGAAGGCATCCTCAATCTGAAAGTCCATCTCCTGTTAAATAAGCTATTAAGAAATTTGGGGTTCAACCCAGGTGTTCAGGGTAAAGAATCATGGGAGTGGCATCTGAAAAATAAGTTTCAGAGTTAAGGAGGGGAGTCACATTTAGTTTTGATTGGGAGGTATGCTAGTAAGATGTAGATTTTATTCTCAGGATCTTCTGGGACATGGTCAAGATCTTGGGGATAAGACCCAAACAAAGGAAGACATAGTAGTGCCTAAGGAAACCAAAGCTAACTGTTTAAGGATGGGAGCCTAGGGTGGATTTGAGAAGACTAGAGCTGGCTTTTAGCTACATTTCAAAGGAGAGCTCGACAACCAAAGTTCTCCAATTGGTGAAGATTAATTTGCACTTCTTTAGGTCTCAGGCACTGTAACATGGCTTTTAAGCTTGACCCCACAGTCTAGGGTGGTAGTATTTGCTCCTATCAGATAGACCTGAAACTCAGTGACTCATTTCTGTGGTTTTGGACCACTCTCCCATGACAGAGAATGGATATCCCTTGTTTGGTAATAACATCACCCATATGATCCTTTACAATGATCACACTCTAAAGGTTTTTACAGTGATTTCACTACACCCATTAGCAAATATCATCCCCACAAACCTGTATGAAGTAGGCAGGCAAGGTAGATAGCTAGACAGTATGATTCCTGTTATATCAATTTCAAAACAGGCAAAACTAATGTTTCATATTCCAAGCTATGATGGTGGTTACCTTTGGGAAGAAGAAAGGGCAAAGTGACAAGGGGAAGCATGAAGGGACCTTCCGGAGGTGCTGATAACGTCTTTACCTGGGCAGTAATTACATTGGTGTATCCATTGGCTCACTATATAATGCACTGAGTTGTATCCTTCTAATTTGTGCATTTTCTGTGAGCATTTTACACTTTAAAGTTATTTTAATGAATGCCACAATCTTAATCACTACTTCATAGCTGCTCACACGTACTATTTAACTAACACACATAGCTAAGAGACAGTAAACATACTGAGTTATTATAGAAAGAAAATCACTGACTATGAATGCAAAATTACTGGCTTTTTACTCACCTACTTGCATTTATTTCATGCTCATCTGAAACCCAAAGTAAGGAATAAATTTTAAGAGATTCTGAAACAAAAGCAACTGGGAAGCTTCCTGGGTCAGTTCAAGAAAAATGCAGCTCTTTAAATCTCTTCCTCATCACGTCTTATCATTTCTCCCCTCTGATATTTTCTTATTTTCCACAATTCTTCTCCACCTTCTTTCTTACTTCCTCTAAACCTCCAAGATCGTTTCCTAGGCAACTGGAGATTATGAAACAAGAGGAACTGGGAAGCTTCCTGGGTCAGTTTAGGACAAAGGCAGCTCTTTACATCTCTTATTTTCTCTTCTTATCCTCAAATTCTTTTTTTTTCCTGCCATCTCTTTTCCCCACTTCTCTCTCTCCCTGTCTATCTCCATTCTTCTTCCTAATTATACCCAGAAATCATTTTATGTAATGGTAAAAGGTGATGAACCAATACTTATTCTCAAATGTATGGGTTCCTATATAAACACAATTGGCACTATAAACAGTGTGTCCTCAGTATGGCTGTACACAAGAAAATAGAACCAGCAGTCTTTTCTATGAGAAATACAAAGGAACTGATATTTTTGCATATCTTTGTGATTCTCTACACTACAAAACTGCATTGGTTTCAATTCTTTTTCTGGCCCTGAACACAACGGGGACATGCCATACATATCTCTAACAGTTAATTTTATATGTCAGTTTGGCTGGACATGGTGCCCAGCTATTTAGTCAAGTATTATTCTGGATGTTTCTGTGATGGTGTTTTTTGATGAGATTAACATTTAAACCAGTGGACTTCGAGTGAAGCCATAATAGAAGAAAAACTGATCTACCCTAAGCAAGAGGGAATTGTGCCAACAGACTGCCTTTAGACTTGAACTACAACTCTTCCCTAGGCCTCCAGCCTACCAGCCTATCCTGCAGATTTTAGACTTAGTAAGCCTCCACAATCACATGAGTCAATACTTTAAATCTCCCTTCTTCTCTCTTCTTATAAACATACCCCCTTTGGACTCTGTATCTGTTTCTCTGGAGAACCCTAATACAAGAAGCAAAGGTAGTGATGTTCAACTAGAGATGAGGAGGAGGTGGGATCTACAGGAAGAAGAGTGGGTTTGGAGATGATAATTTCCAAAAGACTTAATGCAGACCTTATGGATTATCTCCCCAAAATTCATTCTTTAGCCTCCCTCTATTACAGAAGCTGGAATGCAAAAATGAATCTTCTAGCTTCCCTTGCAGCTAAGGGGTAGCCATGTGACAGAGTTGTGGCAAAATTCTTGAGAATGGCTTCCCTCCAAACAAAAAGCTAAAGCCTCACTAGAAAAAGCACTATGCACTAACCTTTCTGCCTGCCTTGGTTTAACGATTCAGATGTGAAAACAGTGCTGGAAGAGCTGCCACCCATTCTAGTGCTCCATAAACCATGTCCTAAATAAGAGTGCAAGTAGAATCTGGTTCTTAGGCCAACCTGTATTGAAAGCCAAAAAATGAAGCCTACTTCATGTTAAGTGTTATTACATATAGAATTTTAAAAAACAGTTATACTCAGTCTCCATGGAGGTTACCCAAGGTCAAACTCTGCAATAGGAGGGACTTGGACTAGAAAAATTCCTGAAAGCAATGATTATGAAGCATTAGCAATTAAAATGATTACTAAGACAAACTACATTTAAAAAGGGCCTTTGAAAATATAGCCTGAATTGTTTTATGACATTTTACCTCTAAGACACGAGTTAGAAGTGTTTTAACATCTTTACATTCTATAATGACCTAGTGAATCTAAAATTTTATTCCAGCACATTTTTAAATTTGTTACAGTAGAGAACTAAGAACTATTATACAAAGTCACTGTATAACAAATCTTACTAACAAAGCATTAAGAAGGAACTTATTGGCCAACTTGATGAATAACATAAGTGACATGCCAAATTACCTAAAACATTTTTAAGTGTCATATCTTAAGATCTACCTATAAAAAGAAAAATCAAGTGCTATCAGATAATGACTTTGAACTTCTGTGTTTACCTTTCTTTTCTCCAGTATAGGGCACATAGTCTTCTCTGTCCTTATGCTCCAATGCTTCCTTCTCCAGATATGACAGGAGATGTTCTCTATCAAATGGCCCCGTGGAGCACTTTGACGTCTGGTTCCTCTGCCGGAACCCTGCAGGCAGAAGGGCATTCTGCCAAAGAGAATGAATCAGCCATTATGACCCAAGTCAATGCCAATGCCACACGCTTCCACACATAACCCATGTAAGAAAGAATTACAGACTAGGATATTGTAACAGGAAGGGCAACAATGTAAAAGTTATCCAAATGTTTTTTATTACATAGAATTCACTTACATTATTAAAATTACACATTTTCTTCAGAAAGTATTCTACTGGAAGGAACATCTTTTACTTTTTAAATGTCCCAGGGTGGTAATAAAAAATAGCTTTCTTAATGCCTAATAACTGCTCAACATATATGTATACACAGAAAACAATTCTATTACAAAAGTATGTTAAATGACTATATACATCATTGTCCTTCATAATGACTTCTTTTCATTGTAAAGATGTTCTCATGATAAAAACATGCATACAATATGGTAGAACATCAGGATATTAATGTTTACTTGTTTTTGTTTAAATACAGTGTGAAAGGCTGAACTTGTGTGTGTGTGTGTGTGTGTGTGTGTGTCCATCAGCACTAGGATGTATGTGCAGTAACCACTGTCATTGCTACTCATACAGGAAGGAGCCCCGACACATATTTGGAGCCAGAACAACATCCCTGGGTTTCTGTGGGTACAGTCTTTCTGAATGCATGGAGTGACTGACAGAGCAGGCATGGTGGGAGGCAATGGGTTTAAGTTGTCCCCTATAGTACCTACTCTCAATTTTCACTAAGCCCAGTAATAACAAGTGACGATTAGACAACATGAGCTCCATCCTTCTGCTTGTCCTAAGACAAAGAGGTAATATTGCCTTGTCTCACATTCCTAGGTATTCCTCTGCTTTGAAAATGAAAGGTACTCAGAGAAGTCACACAAAGGGGCAAACCCACTCTTGCAACATTTCCCAATATTGACAATGACACTGAATCTCATGGATGCTATAATTTTTCATTACAAAGGGAGATTTTATAGAGATAACAACAGCAAATATTAATTTTAAAACTATAAAATTTAGCACTCTAACTGGCCATTTGCTGAGACCCATAATTTCCATAAAATTCACCTTTGTGTTCTCCCCATGTAATGGTAAGCATAACACAGAAGGCCCACCCATAACAATAAAACACAAAGTAAGTCTATTTCTGACCCTGCATTGAGTTTTTTTTACACACAAAATTGTCCATGGGAATATAAAAAGGAAACACAAAATTTCTACCCACAGGCTTTGAAATCAAGATAAGAGCTACACATGAAAAATCTATTCCCTACCAACCACAAAGTCCTATCCATTTTTACTTGCTACAGACTCATTAGTCTGTTTACTTTTATTTACAGTGTCATTACTTGGTCCAAGCTATGATCCAAGTTGGCATAGAATACTACATTAGCCTCCCACCTGATATTCCTGGGTATCTACAGCCCTCACTCCCACCGCCTCATCTCACACACCCTCCCCATTCTATCCTTGTTCCTCCCTTGCATTTGCCATATGCTTTCTTCTACCAGAAGGACTTCCCTGGAATGCTCTGTCCATCCTTTGTTACTCATTGTTCAGTCTGCAGCTCCATTCCCCCACGGAAGGTTTTCTGACCTCCCATTATATGCTCTTGTGTTCATATGGCATGACTATTTGATTTAAATTGTCTAACTCCCCCCCCCCCACTCCTACCAGCCTGTATCATGAGGGCAAGAACCACATTTGTTTTGTGTCTTCTTGACTCCCTAAGCTAGCATTGCACCTGGATCTATAGGCTGACTTTCAACTACTTATTGAATAAAGATTTGAGAATAGTTTTAAAGAAAAATGCTCATTAAGGCAAATGAATCAAAGTTACTTTTCTTCACCATCAATAAGGCATGTATGCACATCTTGCTGTTCCATGGTGGGAGTGATGAAGTCACACTGTTCCAACCACCTGCTCAAGTCCACGTGAAACATACAGGTGTTAAATGGTATGTTAGCTGGAATTGTGGCATCTTAAATATGGTCTTTGACAAAATAGGTGACAGCTAATTGGCTTTGCAGACCATAAACCCATGAACCAAGCTTTACAAAAAGTAATCTTAATCAGGTTAGTTAATGGGTCATAATTACTCAACAAACAGACAAAAATCTCATTAAAATGATTGCTACTAAAAAGTACATGTTTCTCTCTGCAGCAGAATTTTGTTGTATAGTCCCAGGTTTGGAAATGAAAAAATAGTTATTGCCTAGGCTGGCTGGCTGGCTTTTAGAGATAGATATCCCAAGAAAATGCAGTGTGTTACCAAATAATATATACTGAGTGCAGCACAAGGAAAGTACAATAGCCCTCCCAAATATTACAGGCACCACATACAGCCTTCAGCCACTCTGCTCTTGCCTATCTTCTGAGACTGTCAGTTACAGGCTGTTTCTCTGGCTGAAGTAGCTGCTACTATCCATGCCCTCTTTTCTTACCTGGCACTTTACTGGCACTCTCCAAAAACTTCACCCAATTAGTGGCATGCTGTCAATAAACACCACGGTTCTTATAGTTTCAACAGTACCCTGAGGTTGGGAGAGTTGGAACCAGGATTGGGGAGCTGGAAATACATCCAGAAGTTAGAACTCAAGCTTCCCCATACAAGAAGCAGGTCATGGATTTGCAACTAAGAAGACACAAACCATCAGCTTTCACACCTATAGCACAGTGCATCTGTCAACAGGACACTCACTGTAGTTTAACAGGAAGACCATTATTCTGCCGGGGACCAATCAGGCAGTGAGAGATCTAGTCTTAGTTCTTTCCCTAATTGCAATAACAGGGGCAAATCACCTAACTTTTGTTTCCCATCTGTAAAACAGAGGGCAAGTGCTAGATCAATGTTTTTCACCAGGAATGTTCCCCCAGGAGACAGTTGGCAATGTCTGGAAATATATTTGCTTGTCACAGCTGGGGAGAGGGGGTATTAATCATATTTATTTTCTGTAATTTTAGGATGCTTTGACATCTTGGACACCTTGCTAGTCCTGGAAAGACTGTCCCTCTAGGACTAGTTCATTCCTAGGGTAGCAAACAACACCCCCTTCCCTCCACCAGAGTGTCATTCCTGGGAAAACCAACTAATCCAGAGCCCATTCCCCAACCCCCTCCTTTCTCTCTCACACACCAAGCCAGCATTTCCCCTGCCCTAAATCATCCAGGCCAAGTACCAGCTAACTAGAGGCTACTCCTATACCCGAGCCCACTGAAATTATTCAAACTATCCAATCCTAAACTTGCTCAAACTTGCCCACCCTGTCTCACCCAATCCTTCCCTCAGATACTACCGTAAAGGTTCTGGACCATGCTTCTCCTTGCTCTTTTTCCCCTCCTGACCAACTTGGGTGCTTCCTTGTGTGGCCCTTTGTGTCATCATGTGCTTCCTGCTCTTGGGAACTGTCAATAATAAACTCTTCTTTCAAGGTAGTTGTCCCTATCTAAAATTTTAGGGTAACTGATTGAAAGAAAATCTCAGGTACGTTTTAAAACAGAAGGTGTGCTACTGACATGGATCAAGCAGAGGCCAGGGATGCTGTAAATAGTCCACAATGCACCTAGCAGCGCTTATAACAAAGAGGCATCCAGCCCCAGTGTCAATGGAGCCACAGCTGGGAACCTCTGGATTAGACAAGCTCTCATGCGTCTCCCAGTTCTACAACCACTTGATTCAAGTAGGTCTATAGGTTGAACTGCCTGTAGAAAATATTGCTGTGACATGATCAAGACATGTTATCCTGAGTTGGATATTAGACATATTTCCCTTATAGTCACAATTATCACTAAGAGTTTTTATCTACAGTACAAACACGTTATCCAAGTGCTGAAGTCATGCTGAGAACAGGAGTATAATTCTCAATAAAAATTCAAAAACATTCCAGCAGGAAATAAATATGTGGCAATAACAAGAACAATTTCACAAAATAAACTCTACCTTGATACCTAGAAGGCACTAAAAATCTGTGTCTCAGCATAAAGGAACATGGTAAAGAAAAGAAGCCTAACCAAAAAAACAAACAAACAAAACCACAATTAAAAAATGGGCAGAGGTTTACATGTGGACCAGAGCACCCTTAGAAGTTTCACCAGAAGGGTTAGCAGGGCTTAGGGGGGGCCTCTGCCATGGGTGCTTGTAGACATGGGCTTGAGGGACAAGGGGGAAAATAGACAGAGGACCTGGACAGACATTTTTCCAAATAAGACATACAGATGGCCAACAGGCACATGAAAAGATGATCCACATCGCTAATCATCAGGGATATGCAAATCAAAACCACAATGAGATATCACCTCATAGCAGTAAGAATGGCCACTGTTCTAAAGACAAGAAATGACAAGTGTTGGAGTAAAGAGAACCCTTTACTGTTGGTATAAAACATAAACTGGTGCAGTAACTATGGAAGCAGTATGCAGGTTCCTCAAAAAACTAAAAACAGAAATACCATACAACCCAGTCATTCCACTTACAGGAATTTACCCCCAAAAAACAAAATCCTTAATTCAAAAAGATATATGCACCCCTATATTTATTGCTGCATTATTTACCACAGTCAAGATATGGAAGCAACCAAAGTATCCATCAACAGATGAATGGATAAAGAAGATGTGGTACATATATACAAAGGAATAGTATTCAGCCATAAAAAAGAAAGAAATCCTGCCATTTTCAACAATACGGATGGACATAGGGGGCTTTACACTTTGTTAAATAAGCCAGGCAGAGAAAGACAAATACCATATGATTTCACTTATATGTAGACTATAAAAACAAAACAAAACAAAATGAAGAGAACAGCAATAGACTCACAGACACTCACAAGTGATTGGTAGTTACAATGGGAGAAGGGTTGGGGTGGGTAGGTTAAACAGGGATAAAGAGGCACAAAAATCTCAATCATAATATACATTAGTCATGGGGATGAAAGTACAGCATACAGAATATAGTCAATAGTTCTGTAACATCTTTCTATGCTGACAGATAATATATTTGAAATCAACAGATTTCTATGTTGACTAG